AGGTCCTGAGTTCAATTCCCAGCAACCACATGGTGGCTCACAACCATCTGTAATGGGGTCTGGTGCCCTCTTCTGGCCTGCAGGCGTACACACAGACAGAATATTGTATACATAATAAATAAATAAATATTAAAAAAGAAGTTATAGTGAATGTATAATTAAAGATAGCAAGAATTAAAAGCAGCATGCCAGGATGCTATGAGGTAGACACAACTGTAACAACTGGGTAGTGTCTGTTTTCTTCCTGTTCTGATGCTAGGGGAGGGATCAGGGATGTGTGTGCACATGTTACAGAAGCACTCTGCAACTAAGCTGCATTCCCCAGGCCCATATGAAGAACCCTTAAAACTCAAATTATAACAGCGACACAGGAGGGCAGGGCAAGGAGCCACCGAAGAAGTAAGTAGGTAAATGTTTCCCTTAACAACAGACATGGACTAAAGATGTCAATAAAAAGACAATGCATATACAACCTAATATGTGGTGCCTTCAATATGTGGTTGCTATGGTAAATGAAGTACGTTAGGGAAGGAAAATAACTGTGAACAGGAATCACATACTGTGTCCTCAGCACACAGGAGATATACAGTATCTTTACTAAAATGTGGTATTATTGGTGAAGGACCACCTATGCTCTTTCAGTGTTAAAACTGGAAAAAAATAAGGTCTTTCAAATTTTGTTATTATTATTATTTGATTTTTCGAGACAGGGTTTCTCTGTTAACACCCATAGCTGTCCTGGAACTAGATCTGCAGACATGTTGACCTTGTGCTCACAGAGATCTGTCTGTCTCTGCCTCCTGAGTGCTGGGATTAAAGGTGTGTGTCACCACCGCCTGACTAGGGTTTTTTTTTTTTTTTTTTCGGTTTTTCAAGACAGGGTTTTTTGTGTGTGTGTAGCTTTGGAGCTTGTCCTAGAACTCACTCTATAGATCAGGCCAGCCTTGAACTCAGAGATCCACCTGCCTCTGCCTCCAGAGTGCTAAGATTAAAGGTGTGTGCCATCACTGCCTGCCTTAGAATTTTTTTTATAACAAAGTGTTAAGGTAAATTGAGCAGGCACAACATAAACTGAGACAGACTGAGATAGACTGATGAACTGAGAAGGCACAAGGGAGTCAGAATCAACAAGGACATCTTTCCAAACTACCCAAAGTTCATTTACTCCTCCACCAGTGGGTTCTTCAACTCTCTGCTGGGAAGAAACTCATTCTGAAACTATTTTACAGGTTCAGTACTAAACATTTAGAGGACAGTAACAGTAGAAAAAAAAGAAAAGGAAAAGGAAAAAAAAACATTTTACTGAGTCTGGCTTCAAAATATAATAAGTGCTCATCTAAAGAACCAGAGAAACATAATGAAAATGAATGTGACTTACCAGTAGTGAAGAAATACAAGGCAGCATGGAAAACAGAACGAGAGATAACTGCTGATGTGTCAGTTAGCTTTGGAGTTAGGTTAAACAAAGAAAATATTTCCACTTTAGTACCCCCGGCCTCCAGCTCTGCAGTACATTCTTGCAAGGCCGACAGCCATCACCTTGTATACCAAACAGTCTTTTCTATCCAACTTAAAGGTACTTTGGCAACTTAACTAGATTAAGCACTTTTGAGTACCCCTAGAGCAAATTGTTTTACCAGCTTTTCATATGATTCGCCACTCAACTCAGCTTGTTCACTACTGTTAGATAAACAGAATGGGTTCCCCTACTTTGAAACAACCATTTTTCATATTGTCTATCAACAATTCAGGTTTGTAGGCTCATGCTTTAGTCCCAATCTGCCTTTTTAGTCTTGTCACTCTTAGAGTACTGCAAAACTAAATGTGCCAGCCAAAGTGTTCTTTAATTTTTAGGTTGTACTTGTCTATTGCATTCTTCCTGTTCCTCTTCGCTGCGTGATGAAACACCACATACTCCTCCACTTCTAGAACAATCAGTCTAAATACTATTTCTTGAGTAAAAGTCTTTCAGAACCCACTGTGCTAATTTTATAGGCTCTAGATCCTGAAGAAAACCCTTTTGTGACATTTCACTCCAAACACAGAGAACTACAAAGACCACACCAGGCAGGTTTCCAGGAGGTTTGAGTAGGGAGCCTTGGTGTCGGATAGTACAGTGGGCAGCCCTGCTCATACCAAGTGTGGAGAACACCCAGTTCCCACAGCAGTGTCTAGAGGGACTCATATTCCTTAGCTAAAACAACACCCAGAGACCGAGCAGTCTTCTTAGCCTACTCAGCTTTATTTAGAGACCTGTTCTTATGGAGGAAAAAGCCCAGGCAAAGACACAGTTTTAAAGTGTATGTACGGGGGAGCCAGATTTTGTCACTGTTCCCACTTCTTTAGCACTCTACTCCATAACTAACACAGCCCTTTGCTTGGGGCTTTCTGCCAGTGACAAACTCTTCCACCTATCACCTGTGTTAATTCAGCCGACCTTCCCTGGGTGCCATTCAAGTGAGGAAAACAGAACACAGGATGGGTTGGCACCCTTTTCTTTGAGACCTTCCCTACACTATCATATCAAGTCAGCCAAGCCTCATCTGTTATAGCTGTTTGGCACAGAGTTCTAACTGACCAGCACAGCATATGGCAGCTGAACATCTTTCTTTCTTTTAGTCCATCACTACACACAGTGATCACCTTGTATCATTGTTTCAAGTATGTATATATATATATATATGTATATATATATCATATATATGACTTACAATAAGTTTTTTGAAAGCAAGGACAGTGAATAAATCCCATAATATCTATGATATATTCCACAACAAACAAGTATTTATGAAAAAGATAAATAAATGTATACATCTTTAGCAGTCTTAACCCAAAAATCTGAACTATTTCAATGCTGAAAACTCTTAGCACTGATACAATGCCATGAGAAGGCAATGCCATATGTAAGCTGCAGCAAGTAACAGTCAAAACAATGGTACACTAAAACATGGCAAATTACTTTCATTTAATTAACATGCACATGAAACAAATTTTGAGTTTAGAGTTGGGTCCTAACCTTATGATAGCTCATTTATGTAGACAAATATTTCAAAATCTAAAATACTTTTGAATCTCAAGGGTTTCAGGTAAGAGATACTCATATAACATTCCACAAACAGCCAACATATATAATACCCTTAAGAGGAGAAAGATAGAATAGTGTGAAATGCTAAATACAGTCTACAATTTTCCAAGCTGCCAAATTAAATGTTATTCAGTCTATAAAATTCAAAAGCATTTTAAAACACAAATGCAATCACTTTCACCAATAAACCAAAAGGCAGAGACGACTTTGAGAAGAGAGTGCATGTGGGCATCTGGTAAAGATACACGATATCTTCACATAAGCATCTTCTTACTTGAGCAACCTGCAACGATCCGTTTCTGCACTCTTAATCATTTCATCAATGATGTTCATTGTTTTTTAACTGGATACTTTTGAAATTAAGTAATTACAGAACAATCCAAATGCACATAAAAGCAATCAATGATGTTACTGAACATAGTGAAACAAGAAAGATGCCAAGTATAAGTAAAAGCAGGGTAAAAATCAAATGAGGAATAGTCTTTTTAAAGCACAGCACATGTTATCATATCCAATGTAACTCAGAGAATGCAGTGTACTACAATGTTGCAAATCCAAACACAAGCTACCAGTAGAGACAGTCTATACAGAGCAGCGATTTAACTCATGAAGGCTGCGGCAATGGCGTCTGCTTATTGGTTAAAAGAGATTATTCAGCCAAGCTAGATACTAAGTCCTAGAACTAGACAGACAACAGATCATCACCTTGCGTGTTTCTTCAGTGAAGTAACATGGACACTGTCAGATAAAAACAGGCAACTGTTAAGACACTACTTTACAACTTAAACTTAACATCTAACCACAGAACTGAATGCTTGATGAGTGGGCTTTCATTCACTGTTCAACTCACAGACATTAACCATCAGTCTGAACAGAACTTTACCATTGAAAACTTATGGTTTCCATATTCCGATTCATCTAGGAAAACATAACAAAATCAAAAGCCCCTGAAGCCTGCCCTTGAGTGCAGTGGGCTGCTCTTCAGCAGCAGGCTTGGGACAGAAATGCTCAAAGTCATTTAGTGCAGCTCTCTTTCAGGGAAAACAGATGACCTATAAGCCTAGACAGAGGTCAAGAAACTTCTCTGTAACTAATTCAATCGGTGCACCTATAAACATTAAAAACAGATTGCTGAAATAAAAATATGTGACACAATAATGAAAGAAATTAAGGAAAAGGTATGAAAAATGTTAATTACAAATTCAAGTTTTGACAGTTGATATTCTTCACCTCTGAGTTACTAATATAATCATAAACATATTACTGTGCAGAATAGACAATGAAATTATGAGGTATTGTCAATTAAGAATCAACATACAAACACCTGTCCATACAGTAAGAATTTAGTAACAGTCATGGCCAGAGACAAGTCAATGCGTAAGCGCCTGTCCACAGAACAGGTGTAATGACTGACTTACCTGCCCTTGTTCTCTTTTCCTTTAATTTTACTTTCTTGGCCTTTTCCTCCAGTAGGATCCCACTCTACACAGGAATCTTCAACTTTCAAGTTCAAATGTGATGATGAGTTATCTAAACTGAAGTTAAGAGCTGCCCAAGACAATGTTTAACAAATGTAAGACTTCTCCACTGTCCGGAACACACCTGCCATATTATTTCTTTTTCACTGAGCCAACTCTGTACAAAGAGAGAAAACCTCCAATCCCTGACCTTCACACAAAACCTTTCAATGCTTAGGTTGTAGTCTATAATTCCCACCTATTTTCAATTGCTTTCTCTGCATTTCTTATACACTAACCAAGTCAGTGCACTTGCACTGCCAACGCTATCTCCGCTTCTACAGAACTCTCCGTCGGCACACAGTAATCAAGATCTCATGTTATTAGAATTATCAATTGGTTCTCAGCTGATTGTTCTGACTGAATGAAAGGGAGAACTGGTACAAGTATGGAGGAAGGAAAAGCAACAGAGTATAAGAAAGGGATTTAATGTACGGACAGCACAAGGATTCTCTCTGAAGCTTTAATGCATCAACAATTTCACACCTAAACTCTCATTAGTGCTAAACTGAGATAAACATGGATATACTGGGGCCATGATGTGACATAAGCAGAGGAACTGAGCCAGATGACAGATGTCTTGATTGACAGAGTAAAGGGGGAAAGCATCACTTAATGAAAAAGGTAAACAAGAAATATAAAACAACCTATGCTTTTTAGATTACTTGATGTTTTAGGGAACTATATATTCTGTTCAAAGTCCTTGGAAGTGCTTGCTGAGAAAAAAGCTTCCCTTCCTAAAAACTGAGGGAAAAAATCATTAAAGAAGTGATTTCCCAGCTGTGCAATGCTGTTTCCTCTCTTTGTAGTGCAATTTCCCAACTCTTAGAAGGCATCACGTATAGAGTTACACATTAATCTGCTTCTGCTACCTCCTGCCAAAAGTTCATACTTTTATTAATTATAGATTAAAGAAACATCCTTTACAACACACCTTTGCTGACAGATACTAGGTGAAATTAGGTGAGGCCTTTTATGAGCCTGTGATCACCAAACAGGAAAAGCACATAGAGCCCAATCATTACCCAGTGGATGGAGCAGCCTTTCATCCCTGATTCTGGCAAGAGCAATTCAATTCCAACACGCATCATAGCCATTGTTCATTGTTTCACTTATGACACATCTGAACAAAAATCTACTGACTGCACAGCTACAAATGTCACACTACACAAGGAAGTCAACCACTTTCAAAAGCTGCATCTATGCAGAAGTAAACAGACAAGAGTAATTGCAGCTTTTCAGTAAAAAGAAGATAGAATTCTTTATTAGGTAGATACACTGAGACATTTCTAAAGTCAACTGCTGTATGAAAACAGTTATATTCTGTATGTTAGGTATTCTTTTATACAGTTAACAGCATTTATATTTTTGAAAGAAAGAAACCTGGGCTTTACCATGGAGGGGCCATCAATTGCCTATAACTTACTAAAATCCCAAGGCCATCGGAAAGAAAAATCCTAGGCTATTCCTTAATATTTTCTATGATACAGTAAAGAGCCAACTGGGTGGCAGGAAAAGGCACTACCCCAAACCACTTGTGATTCAAATCAAATGCCACACCATCCAAACACAAGGGCACAGGGTTCCAAAAATGAGTCATGTTTAGTCTTTTTCTTTCTCCTGACACTAATACTTTATCTGACCTCTCTTAAGTCATACATTTTCTCTACGATAACATGGACAATACTCTAAAAGCAAAGAATAGAGAGAGGAGGGTTGAGAAAAGACTTGCTGTCATGAAGGTAAGAGCCTGTGTCTTATACTACAAAGCTAAACCACAGACACTATTGTTTGAAGTTGGAGAGCCTACTAGTTTCCAACTTAAATTTTCATAAAATTTACAGCTTGTCACAGTTAGATCCAGGTTTGTTCACAAGGAACACCAACAACCCAAAGATCTGCTGCTCCTTGGGGTTCATAATTACAGTAACTCACTCTTTCCTGACGATGGGCAGAAGTAGCTCAAGTCACATAGAAAAGACTATCTGCCTGGAAATTTTACAAGGCTTTGAAATATAGAAATCTTTTTAAGAAACAGTAATATCTCAGTTTAATAATAAATAACTCAAAGCAATTACATTTCTTCACTAAGCTATGTATAATTCTCAAGTAAAATTATTAGCTAAATCATATTACTTCAACCGGGAATTTTCCTAGGCTTTATGCCACAGACATTACTGAGTTTGTATCATCAAAAACTTACAGACCTTGAAGGCCCAAGCACTTGCCGACCATGCACAGGGTCTGGGGTCAAGTTAAAGGACTTAGTTTTATTGTGGTACATGATTATCACCTAGATCATAGCAAATTTCTAGCATGCATATCTACTCAAATGCATCATAAATAAACTAGAAGTCAGTGGGTGCTCCAAGTTTCAATACAGATTATAATGTAGAGTCTAATTCAGCAAGACATCTCAGGCAGTGATCACCTCACAAGTGGGGGAGCTCTGGAAGAGTGGCTTTCAAATTGGCAAATACCTAAACGTTCTTCCGTGTTACAAAAGGGGACGTTCATAAATCTAAACTTCTCTGAGAGAACAGAACTTGGGTTAGAAGCCTCCAATAAAGAATGCCTAGGACCTAGAACAGATTCCTATAAACATCTAGAGCAGCTCTAGGGACGGAGGTAAATACATATTTCAATTTTCCTCTCGTCATTTGCAGTATGGATAGCAGTAATATCTAGCAGTGATCTCTCAAAATGATCTTAATGACCAAATGATTAATTTTTCATTATTATGACATATGTGCATATGCTATATAAATATTAAAAAACTGTATAAATGGTAGTAACTGCAAGAAAATTTGGGAAAAATAGAGAGAATGTCTTGTTGCTGATTCATAATTAATTCTCTGAAAATTACAGACAACTTCAGCAATGCTTACATATTTACTCTAACCCAAACTGTGAACTAAACACCCAGAGGCAAGTATAACATCACCACCTCAGGACAGTGTGATGGCTTAGCAAGTAAAGGCACAAGTTATCAAGACTGCTGACCTGAACTCGATCCCTGAAACCTACACAGTGACTCCTACAAGTTGTCCTTCAACGTGCATGCATGCAATGCCCCCCACATATGCACACAAAATAAATAGAAATCTAATTTAAAATTAAGAAGAAACCAAATAAATAAAAATAAATGAAAGAAATTCTGAAAAAATACTATCATCTCAGTCTATTTTGCCCACAAGAACATAATTATAAGGGAAAAATCTACTATAAACCACTACTACTCTAATCCTGTTTTCCTGCCTTGTATTTCCCACATTGGAAAAGCCAGAGGTAGGTGGTAGGAAGAAATCCAACCACACATGAAAAGACCCTGACAAAGTCTCAAATAACTTCTGATGGCAAATTCTCTCGTCTGCTGTGCAAATGGCTGCCAGCCTTACCTTTGGTCTCTAGGGTCACTGGATCGGAATACTCTCCAGCCACAGCCTTGTTGCAAGCTCGCACTCTGAAATTCATATACTTTGAATCAAATTTTAAGCCTAAAAAATGAAAGTTTTTAGTCATAAAAAGTAAGGAATTCCTTCCCATATGTGTGAGTGTGTATCATCAAGCAGACATTTTACTTCTCAGAAAGCTCTTTACTTGAGAAGAGCATAGACTTATAGTAAATGGATGGTAATGACTGGAAATCAGAATAATGACTTACCTAAATCTTCTTCAAAATAAATAAACTATACAATTACCAACAGTCTCAACATAGTGCTAACTAAAACAGCACCCTCTCAGACTTCGTTAGAAGTGGCGCTGTGCTGGGTGCTGCTCCCAACCATGCAGGTGTGCTGTTAGCCATGTGCTGTATGCACTTGGTGTCTACTGTACACAACACCAGCCCCTGGGAAGGAGCTAGTGCTCGACACGACAGCTCCTAATGTAGCCCACTCTGCACAGGACGCACCAAAGAGCCCAGCTAATATTCTGCCATTCAAAGCATCAGAAGTCCTCATATACTAAGATACCTTTGAAGAAGCATTCAAAAAGCCAACACAGAAAGAAACCTTAGTTAAGTCCCAATTCTGTGATAACATGGAGATAATCAATCCTGTGGCAGTGAAAACAATGGGGTTCACAGCATCCCTGAAATGTGGAGGTTTGAGTACAATAAAGTTTCTTTACTTAGTTGATGGAGGAAGGTAATTGGTTAATTATAATAAACCAACTGCTTGGCCTCATAGCTTAGAACATAGGTGGGTGGAATAAAAAGAATAGGATGCTGGGCGGAAGAGGAAGTGAGGTCAGACTCTGCTCTGCTCCCAGAGAGACCCAACAGCTGCTCTCTGGAGCAGAGACACCAGGATGGACGGAGGCTAGACTCTTCCCGGTAAGCGCACCTTGGGGTGCTTACACACATCATTAGAAATGGGCTAGTCCAGGTGCGAGAATTAGCCTGTAAGGGCTAGAGTTCATGGGCCAAGCAGTTCTTAAGTGAATACAGTTTGTGTGTTGTTATTTCGGGCATGAGCTAGCCAAGCGGCCGGGGTGTTGGGGACGCAGCCCCGCCGCTCCTTATTCCAACACTTAGTAAAAAAAAAAAAAATTAAAATTAAAGATTAGCTGGGCATGGTGGCACAGGCCCTAATCTTAGCTCAAGAGGCAGAGTTCAAGATTGGCCTGGTTCATAGTGAGATATAGGCCAGCCAGGGCTACACAGTGAGTCTGTCTTAAAAAAAAGAAAAATAGATTACTTTGTTTCTATATTATTCTAAATACTGTTTCTATATTATTCTTTTATATTTGCTTTACATACACTATTTAGCAGGTTGCAGATTATAAGTAATTAAAAGTTTTACTGCTATTTTAACAAAAATTAATTCATATAATAAATATCTATATAAATCAGTTTGGATAATAGAACTTACTTTTATCATTTAAAATAAAATATTTTTTACGACACTGATCTTCTAAGGATTAGATTCAGGATACCTGCTAACGTATATTCAGTACCCTTGATGTTATCAATCATTTCCCAGCATCGCTCGTCCTTCACACGCGGAAGCCCATCGAAGTTTGTCTTCCTGTATTCCATCATGAAATGGTCAATCTTACTGTCTTCTTCAGGCATTCTCCACGCTACCGTGACAGAGTTGTCAGCCACCAGACACTCTACTGGATCTATCTCTGGAGCTTTTGGGACTGTAGAGAAGAAAAGGGATATCATTCCTCATATATTATAACACTAATCAAATATTTATGCTTGGTATTCAACCTTTGCTATTTCCTCTTTTTAAATATTCAAAAATGAATCAGGCTAAGAGAAAGGATAATATACAAATTCAAATTTTTTCCAAAACCTCCTTCATTGCCAGAATATAAAAGTTTGCATTTCAAAGTTTTCTCAAATACTCTTGGTTTATAAAAATTTTGAATGGCAACAGGTAAATTCCAAACATCTATCCATGTTAAAAATAATCTAGAATGATTTGTTACTTCAAAGCATATTTTAAATCTATAATTTTAAATGTTGTTTGATACAAATTAAATCAGTATTGGCAACCTTTGAATATAATGATTAAATTAATTAAAAATTGTTTTCTGTGCAGTTTTAAGTGAGTAGGCAAATAGAGGACAGTTGGTTACCAGGTATGAACAAATATATTAAGTTAAATAACAGGACTAGCTTCTGATATTCCAAAGCAGAGGAAAATGGCTACACATGAATAGTTGACAATAATTTATTATATAAAATAGTTACATTTTTAATGCTCCCAACACAAATGTTTGGGGTGATATAATGTCAAATAATTTGATTATGACTTTTTGATTTAATTGCACATCAAAATATCACACTAGACTCCAACAAGTTTCACAAGCCTTAAAAAATAATTTTAACATACTAAACAAAACTGAATTCCTCATTTCTCAAACATATTTAGGAGTTGTCAACTCCCAAGAGCTTTACAATATATTAAAACAAATGAATTCAATGAGCTATAATTAACATGTATGACTGTAAAGTGAATTATTTTCCATAAAAGAGATTTCATAGCTTTGCAACACTGTATAAATAGCACAGATGTGTCTTGTCTGAAATCTGCATATACTATATTGATATCATATGTAAATTATGTTGATTTAAAAAAAGAGAATTAAAAAATATTTCTCTTGGGCATGGAGGTACGTGCCTTTAGTCCCAGCACTTGAAAGTCTGAGTTCGAGGTCATCCTGGTCCACACAGTGAATTCTACAGGCAGATAAGGCTACTACATAATGAGTTTAAAACAAAATTTACTCCTGGTGTGCAAAGCTAGATCAACATTTAAAATTGATGAATATATTCAATAATATTAATAAAGATATGATCATTTAGTAAATAAAAATTATAATGACAATATGCAATACTCATGATAAGAAATTTTAACAAAGAAGAAGTAAGAAACTTGACTAAACAAGAATATTTCCAGGGAGTTGGAGGGAGGGCTCAGTGGTTAAGAGCAGTTATTGCTCTTGAAGACAACCTAGGTTTTATTTCCTGGCCCCACATGGCAGCTCTCAACTGCCTATAACTCCAGGGGATCTGATATCCTCTTCTGGCCTCTGTAGGTACCAGGCACACACATAGTGCACATATATAGGTGCAGGCAAAACACTCATACACATATAATGAGTAAATAAAATAAAATATTTTCCAACCTGTTCATATTAGTGTATACCTGTAACCCCAGCTCTTGATAGGCTGGGGCCAGAGGATTCTCAAAAGCAAGCAAATAACAACCAAACTAAGGGGAAGAAAAGGAACATCTTCAAAAAAGACTAGAGTTAACAGCATATTTATCAGTGAGAAACATAGGACCTCACCCCAAGACTGCAAAACTAGGGTGAAGATCTTCCCCTCTCTTTTTTTCTTTTTTCTTTTTTTTATTGAGAAAAGGAAAAAAAAAAGTTTCCGCCTCCTCCCAGCCTCCCATTTCCCTCTCCCTCCCCCCACTCCTCTCCCCTCCCCCCACTCCTCTCCCCCTCCCTCTCCAATCCAAAGAGCATTCCCCTCTTATTATCGCTACTCAACATTTTACCGTAAGTATACCAAAACCCAGCAAGACAAGAAAATAAAGTAAAACACACACAAACTCAATAAAAACAAAATTTTCTTTGCAGATGAAATAACCAAAGGGGAAAAAACCTACACTAAACAAATATTAGAAGTGTCAGCAGGCCACAGAATCACTGTGGGGTGTGAGGGATGAGTGCATGGAGCAAAAGAGAATTTAACCACATGAACTCATTCCTTGTGGAAATTCTGTTTGGCAATGTAGTAACAAATGACCCCCACCAAAGCCCAAGAGTGGTGCAGTATTAGCAGAGAAACACAATACAAAGTACCAACATCAGTTAAGAAGAAACTGTCAAGCCAGGCATGGTAGCACACACTGTTAGTATCAGCAAGCAGGAGGTAAAGGCAGTCAGATCTCTGTGAGGTAGAGGCTAGCCTTGTCTACATAGTTCATGGAAGTCAGAGCTACATAACAAGCCGCTAACTTAAAAATAACAACAACAAAAACCTACACACACCAAAATACACCATCAGCATTGGTCTGTCAATTGGTTATTTATTTATTTATTTATTTATTAATTAAAGATTTCTGCCTCCTCCCCACCACCGCCTCCCATTTCCCTCCCCCTTCTATCTTGTGAAGCAAAGTAAACTACTAAAACCTGGGGACAAAGGGAAGAGAAATTCAAGTGATCTACTGAGTTGAATTCCTTTACAATGATTTTAAGATTTATCTTATGTGTATGAGTATTTTGCCAGTGTTTATTTACATACACCATGTGCACATGTGCAGAGATCAGAAAGGCACTGGATTCCCTGAACTGGAATGAGCTATCATATGGATACATGAAATCAAATCAAGTCCTCTGAGAAATAAAGTCCTCTTTACTGTTGACCAATTTCTCCAGGCCTGCATTAAATTATTGATAGGGAAGGATTTACTATTGACACTTTGTCAACTCTTTACTATTTGTCTTGCAGTTCCTCTGTTTCTTCTTGTTCTCTTCCTTTCTCCATTAAAAAAAGAGTGCTTTGATCAGGTTCCATTTCCTTTTTCTTTATTTCTACTATTGCTAGGATTTGGGGGAAGTGTGGTTACCATGTCATTTACATAAAACACTGTGGTATTATCATACATATATATTGGTTTTCATTCATGTTTACTGATTCATAAACACTTTATCAAAGCAAGCTAGAGAAACTCAGAGAATAAGTTATAATTCCTCTCTAGTCAGAGAGGTCCCAGAGGAAGCAATGCTAAAGAATCTAAGGAGGAAATCTTGTGGATTTCCCTCACCAACTCCATTGGTAATCAGATGTATGCAATGAAGTTTCCATAATGACCAAAATGACTAGCTTCAGAGAACTTCTGGGAAGCTAAATGTTACACTAAGGAAACTGGGATTGGTATGTTAAATGACAAAAGATAGTTTGATTTCTTTTTCTTTTTAAAAATAAAAAGACACAAATTATGAGACTGAATCATAAAAGAGCAATTTGATATGTTATATACAGAAAACCCACCCTGACTATAACACCACTTACAGCTTAGGCAAAGATGGCTGACACGAATGGAAGGGAAGCCAACCCAGCTGCGCTAGTTTTGGACACACTGGACATTAGAACGAGGGAATTTTCAAGGACAAGCAGGTGTGTAGCACAAGAAAGAACAAGAGTCTAATCAGCCTAAACTAGTAAGACTGCAAAGAGACATGCATGAATCCAGGCCCATGAGATCCAGAAGGCAGAAGAGCACAGACACTGCTGGACACCACAGCTCCACACTATCTGCATACGTCTGACATCTATGGCCTGCTGCGGGCAGCACCACAAGAATACTGAACCACCTGAACTACCTATGAAGATACAGCAAGGGGCTGGAGAGATGGCTCAGAGGTTAAGAGCATTGCCTGCTCTTCCAAAGGTCATGAGTTCAATTCCCGGCAACCACATGGTGGCTCACAACCATCTGTAACGAGATCTGCTGCCCTCTTCTGGTCTGCAGACACACAGAGACAGAATATTGTATACATAATAAATAAATAAATAAATATTAAAAAAAAAAGATACAGCAAGACAGACTGGCATTCTGGCCCACAACACACAGCTTAACAAATTTAGAAGCGTAGAAAACATACAATATCTGGTCTTAACCCACAACCCAATTAAACTAGAAATAAGTAATCGAAAAAGAAGTGAAAAATACTAAAATATTTTGAGATAGTAAGCAATACACTTCTAAGTAACACATGAGTCAAAGACACCATCTCGAGAAAAAAATTTAAACTAATAAAAATACAGATTATGAAAATTTGTAAGACATATGACAGCACTCATAAAAAGGCAAAGCATATAGCACTAAATACATACATACATACACACACACACACAAAAAGAGCAAATGAAATCCAAAGTTAGAAAAAGAGATAATAAATGATGAAAATTAGAACAGAAATCAATACATCTAAAAACAGAAAACCAATAAGAAAAAAACCTCATGAAACCAAAAGGTTCTTTGAAAGATTATTAAATCAACAAACCTCCACCTAAGTTAACCACAGAGAAGACAAATTATCACTATCAGAAATGAAAGAGGAGTATCACCACAGATCCACGGATATAAAAATCAATAACTAAGGCATGTGGTGCACACTTGCAATCCCAGCACTTGGGGGACAGAGGCAGGAGAAACACTACAGGTTTGAGGCCAGTCCGGTCTAAACTGTGACATCCAGGCCAGAAGCCTGGATGCTCTCTCTCCAAGGGGAGAAGACAGGGAGGCAAAGAGAAACACACACACACACACACACACACACACACACACATACACACACGGGACATGGGAGGAAGATGGAGATGGGAGAAAGAGAGAGAAAAGAAGGCAGAGGGAGGAGGAGAAAAGGAAGTGTCAAGAAATATGGCCAGTATGATGGTGGTGCACGCCTTTAACCCCAGCACTCAGAAGGCAGAGGCAGGCAGATTTCTGAGTTCAAGGCCAGCCTGGCTTATAGAGCAAGTTCTAGGACAGCCAGGCTACACAGAGAAACCTGGCTTCAAAAACAAACAAAAAAAGAAATACTAAGAACAAACTCTACATCTACAATTTTGATGACATAAATGAACAAATAAACTCTATAATTTCATGATAAATACTAGATACAAAAAAATAATACATAAAAGAAATCTGTACAGGCCTAAATCTATAAAAGAAATTGACAAATCAAGACAACTTTAAGATACCATCTTACACCTGTCAGAATGGCTAAAATCAAAAACACCAATGATAGCCTTTGCTGGAGAGGTTGTGGAGAAAGGGGTACACTCATCCATTGCTGGTGGGAATGCAAACTTGTACAAACCACTCTGGAAAGCAGTGTGGAGGTTTCTCAGGAAATTCGGGATCAACCTACCCATGGACCCAGCAATACCACTCTTGGGAATATATCCAAGAGAGGCCTTATCATACAACAAAAGTATATGCTCTACTATGTTCATGGCAGCATTGTTTGTAATAGCCAGAACCTGGAAACAACCTAGATG